AACACTTAAATAGTAAAAATATTATGTAAAATACGTTGTTATATTGAACGTACATTTACCAAGAAAATATGAGCGCAAATTGGGTTTTTGTGAATAAATACGTAATAGTGTGAGAAAGTTTGTAAGCAATAAGTTTTGTTTGGGTACGCCTTTTAGTCAATAAGTTTGTTTTAAAATTTTCTATGTAATTTATTTTTCTAGTCTAGCTCAGAGTAAAGTGATATTTTTTTTTATTGCCCTTGTAGGCAGACGAGCATACGGCCCACCTGATGGTGAGTGGTTACCGTCGCCCATGGACTTCAGCAATGCCAGGGGCAGAGCCAAGCTGCTGCCTACCTGATTTAAAGTACTAGTGTACTCTAAAGCAATGAAACCGTGGTACTGTGATATTTTTTAACCTCTCAGGAACATGGGAATTTGAAGTTCGGAAATTTCAGCACTAAGGAGAACAATGAGGCTTCAACCATATGGAAGTCCTTTTTTTATTGCTTAGATGGGTGGACGAGCTCACGGCCCACCTTATGTTAAGTGGCTACCCGAGCCCATAGACATTTATAACGTAGGTGCCGCCACCCACCTCGAGACATGAGTTCTAAGTTCTCAGTTTTTACAGTACAATGATCTTTAGTTAGTGCCAGTAATGTAAATTATTCTTAACAATACTAAAAATTAAAACCCTGGAAACAATCGAGTTGTGCTTAAAAGTAATTACGACATTGTATTTTCTTCGGTATTCGCGCGTCGCAGACATAATTAAAACAATTTTTTTTTTTCAATCTTATTCAATATTGTAATTACAGTATTACAGAGCACATAGCACAATAGTAAGGGAGTCCAAGGGGGGACACAATAGTAAGGGAGTTCAGGATTTACTAAAGCGCGGCAGATTAATATACAGGGGGATACCTTTGAATATGAACCTCATAAATAAGGCCGCGCGTCGAGAATAAAGGATCAGATTAATAATAAAAAATTGATCATCAGAAATTCTTGAGCGCGTCAGATTAAGGTAGGCTGAGTTAATTACCTGCTAAAAAGTGTAAATTCCACTAATCTGACAATTTGAAAGTGACGTAAAAAAAGGGGAGGGCTACAAAGTTGTAGAAAAAAAAACGTCATCTGGACATTCTCGAACATGGCTCAATTTTTTTTATTTTGACGGAAATAATTCAAGGATAACGAAAAATATATAATCTGACGATTTCCACAAGCCGAAATAAGAAAATAAAGTTGTATGCGTGCAGCTGCGTCATGCCTAAATTATTTTCTAGCAAATATAAGGATTTTACTAAAAAAACAAATTTTTTTATTTACACGCTATTTCCTGTGCTTTTCTATTAATGAAGGTCAATGATTTAAAAAAAATAATGTGAGCCGTCACGGGACGCCTGGCAGATGTGAAACATCGACATTATTTTGTAAAAGTATTATGCAGAAAAGAACAGATTGTGATAGGAACTAAATATGTCATAATGATAAAATAAAATATTACGAAAAAATAATTTGTTTTCAAGTAAAACACAGGTTATGTGTACTGTAGTAAACAAAAAACAACACTGTATACACTACGGAGTTATACACTATAGGTATCCGAGCTCAGTGTTGCGAGAGAGATAGATGCCTTAACGCCGGATCAAGTGGGAGAGAATGGCACAGTCGATTGCGCATGGCGACGCGTCGCCACACCGTACACACTACTGCATATAGACTGTATATATATACCATCATATAGCGTGGCGACGCGTCGCCACGGCATGCGTCGCCACGCCAGGTTTTACGTGCTGCTATAGATGTTTCACATCAAAAAAATTGTTTTTTGTCAGATTAGGCGAATCCCTTTAGATAATTTATAATCGTCAGACTATGAGACAGCACATCTAGGACATAAAGATGAACCATATATATCTTAATCTGACGCGCTTGAGTGTTTCAAAATGGCGATTTTTTTTCATATTATCATAAAGGCCGCGAGTTTGCATCACATCGAAATCAGATTATTGCATGAGAGCTTTATTTAAGGTTCGCTTACTTGTTCGGAACTTGTATATGCACGCTTATATTGATATTGACCTTGGCGAGATTCAGGCATCTTTCAAATATCTTGTGTCCTAGATGGCTACCGTAACACGCACCATAGACTGGTGGTAGGACCTTTTGTGAATCCACACGGATAGATACCACCGCCCTGAATATAATCGCCACGGCGAAATATCTGCCGTGAAGCAGTAATGCGTTTCAAATATACTTCAGACCATAGAACTTATATCACAAGGTGGGTGGCGCATTTACGTTGAAATGTCTATGTTCTCCAGTAACCACTTAACACCACCCATTTAAGCAATAAATAAATAAAAACACATAGACACGGACTTTAAGGAAATTGTCGTAATTAGAAAACTGAAAACTATCTTTGTATCGTTTCCAAATGCTTTAGAGTGTTCATGGTCACGAGCGACCGTTGCTTATAGTAGGGGAGCCCATGATGCTAAATGGGTATTTACTCGAGCGTCATAGAGACCTATTGGGTTGCAAAGCTTAGATGATAATAAGACAAAAATGTCATATAATGTATACCTTTTCATCGGTGAGGTAAGCAAGCGGCTATACATTTTGAAATTTGTAAAAAAAAACTGTTGCATGGACATACTCGAGTGCGTCAGATATTGATAAATGTCCTACGTATTTTTAATAATGTATGTATGTTAATCTGATCGTTTGTATGGTGGGTGTGGTCGCAAGAAAGGGTTGAAAATGCAAAAAAAAAAAATTAATCGAATGCGTCAGATTTTCTTAGGGGGTCTTATCCTCTGGACTGTTGGCCTACAGAGCAAATTCGCTTGGTGAAAGCGCTTGGTGAAGGCTTTTTCTTGGTCGTTATTTCCCAAACCGCTATAATATTTCCTTTTTTAAAACATGGTAATTCGTTCCATAATCACACCACCCCCAAAATTGAATAAGTCCAAAAACATTTAGATGCTTTGAAAGCGCTTTAATAGACACTCTACGTAATAAAATGTCGTATTTAACTTCGCGAAGATAAAACTTTGCACCTCGGAAAAAGTTATCTGAAATTGGCTATCAGGTTTTATTCGTCTCTGGAACCTGGGTTTTTTTTTTGTGAATCAATCGTCGGACTAAACGAAAACCGACGGAGCGAACGGAACACGGATTTGTGTCAATCGTCATACGATATCATGTGGATTATTGATGTCGCAAAATAATTTCGATATGAAGGCTACGATTGTTTATGGTATCTTATACGTTACATTTAATATTTTTTTTATTGCTTAGATGGGTGGACGAGCTCACAGCCCACCTGGTGTTAAATGGTTACTAGTGCCCATAGACATCTACAGCGTAAATGCACCAGCCATCTTGAGATATAAGTTCTAAGGCCTCAAGTATAGTTACAACGGCTGCCCCAACCATCAAACCGAAACGCATTACTGCTTCACGGCAGATATAGGCGGGGTGGTGGTACCTACCAGTGCGGACTCACAAAAGGTCCTACCACCAGTAAAACATAACCACATTTCCACATTATAACATGTAAACGAATCTGTCTATTCTCTTTCTTTTTCCTTTCCTTGACAGACCACTGCCTCTTTAGGCAACATGATTTCAATAACATCATCAATCAACAAAGTCATATTAGAGTTCCACTACACGCAGCTTTTAACACCGATAAATCAAAACATATCGTCAATTAGTTAAACGCCATTAAGATTTCGGCCATAACTCTTGTTTGGTTCAAATCGTGTTGGCGTCTATGATTCGTATGCCCATTTATGCAAAATAATAAATGTACATTTTCGCGCCGTATAGTATTTTGCTCTCACTGAGTTACTTTATCGATTTTACTGGATTTTTTTATGTTAAACTGGTTTTTTTTTCAATGTTTATTTTCCTCTAGTGCAGTATCGATTTTAATCGAGGATAAGTAACAAATTGTCGCAATTGCTTTTAAGCGGTACATGATTTTACAACGTATATATGTAAATTTTAAATCGTAAAATTTTATCGATAAGTGTGTACTTACTACACTATACTTGAGTATATACTACACTATACACTGTAACTTTACTTTACATTTCGTTCGGGTTCTCGTATCCGGGAGGAGCTTTCGTGATAAACAATTGAAATTCTTCACGAATACTATTCAATGGGTCTTTGGGGGAAATTAGATTATATAGTAGGTACCACCGCCCTGCCTGTTTCTGCCGTGAAGCAGTAATGCGTTTCGGTTTGAAAGGTGGGGCAGCCGTTGTAACTATACTGAGATCTTAGAACTTATATCTCAAGGTGGGTGGCGCATTTACGTTGTAGATGTCTATGGGTCCAGTAACCACATAATACCAGGTGGGCTCTGAGCTCGTCAACCCATATAAGCAATAAAAAAATAAAAAAAAACTAGTCTCACTAGTTTCCTGTACTGCTTAACTAAGACATACCCGTATATTCACTAACATTGTACCGAATACTCCGTTCAAGTGATTCAATCACATAATACGCTGATTCGTTCTAGTAATTAAATGTTTTTGTTTTTTTTTTATCTATGCTCCAGGGAGTTTTAAAGGTAATTAATTTTGCTTCGTATACTTACCTCGTGAAGTCACTCTAGAAGCTTCTATTAGGCATAGAGTTATTTGTTTATCCCAAAAAACGTATCACACAATGCGATTTAGAAAATTGACCACCCATCACCTCTGAATAACATATTCTCTGAAGCGACATCAAATTCACTGGCCGCCAAAATATCGCCTTACTTATTATAGAGTAGACGGCTAGAACTGGAAATCACAAACAATAAAATACCAATGCGTTTTGATTATGTTCCTACTAAAGCTTATAGCGCGAAATGGTATTGTACAAAGTCGAAGGCTCCGTCACAAGCGGCTTGTTATTTAAAATCTTGTTCCACGCCGAATTACTCTGCGCCGGTATCTGTCTAGTTTCTACTTAATCTATGTCCAGTGTTGAATTGACTCTCGTTAGGGGCGCACGTGCCTATCGCGCGCTTTTGACTTTCCGGAACACGTGACGATCGAAGTTAAAAGTTTATTTATTTCTTTATTAAAAAAATATTTACGTGGTTTATTGTTTTTAGTGAGCATTCAAATGTGATTGTGAAGTTCAACTCGGGAATGTGTGTTTGGTGATTTTTTTTATCTCTTATTTTGGGAAAGCATTAAGATTGTGAGTGGCTTTAATTATTAAAAAAATAATTTATTCTAATTCATGTAAAATAATTTATTTTGTTTGAGGTGTTTAAAAGCGTTTTATCTTAAATCCGGTTTTGAAAAAATGTTATACTTTTAAATATTTTCGAAACTTGAATGTAATAAATATTTGAATTTGTTTATTTTTAGGTTTTAGTATTTATTCATAATGCTACAATTTTCCAGTGAAAATTGGAATTGAAACAAATACTATTATTGTAAATTGTAATACTAAACTAACTATTGTGAACCAAACTATATTTCAATTTTAAATATTACAAATCTTGAAATATCGAATGTGGATTTTTGTGGGTACGTGTATGGTCAGTTTTTTTTTAGGATTCAACATCTAGTCTCTAATTTTCAGCTAAATAATAATAATAATAATAAAAATAGAATCGTTTGTTAGAAACAGAAAAACACGCGGACATTAACAAGAAAATACAGAAAAAACAAAATTTTGTTTTTTTTATCATTGTCAGCTTAGCTGTTTAGAAGTAACAGTTTAGCATTATCTGTCCGAAATAGATGCATCGAAAAGTTATTATTGCTATAAATAATTAGTTTATTAATTAGTTAGCCTATTAAATAAATACTGATATACTTAACTTTGAAATGTTGAAAGATAAACTGCCTTTTTGTGGGCAATGGCAAGAAATGTCAATAAAATGTAGACAGACTTCTAAAGACGTTTTTCCTTTTGTCATTCACGGGTAAAAGACGAATTTAAAAACGATATTCGGCGTGATGACATCTCTTTTACATAAATACCACGCCAGTCCCAGGGTCACTTACTAAAAAGTTTAAAGTTCTAGCATATCGCACCTTTAAAATTGAAGTGGCTAGACTAAATATTTTAAGAAAATAAGGTTTGTTTTTCGAACTTCGACATTATAAAATTAAAGTCTCTTTTAGTCTAAAAAAGGAAAAACGTACTCTTTCCGTCTCTTTTAAATCAAACGCATATCAAGTATTATAATAAAAAAATTTAAAAAATTCTAGTTCTTCAATTACTTGTGGTTTTTTTATTGGTGGTAGGACCTCTTGTGAGTCCACGCGGGTGGGTACCACCACCCTGCCTATTTCTGCCGTGAATCAGTAATGCGTTTCGGTTTGAAGGGTGGGGCAGTTTTGTAACTAAACTTGAGACCTTAGAACTTATATATCAAGGTGGGTGGCGCATTTACGTTTTGGATGGCTATGGGCTCCAGTAACCACTTAACATCAGGTGGGCTGTGAGCTCGTACACCCATCTAAGCAATAAATAAATAAATAAAAAACTAAAAAAATTACAATTCTACAATTACATTTTTGGAGTTTAGCAAAAAAACGCGAATTTTGAATTGAGCCACTTCAATTCTAAAGGTGCGATATAACGTTATGAGTTTGAACGATTAATGATTTTTTACAACTGATTTCTCGCGTTCACTGACCCGACGACGTGGATATTTGCCTGCCAAATCATTGATCGATACGGTACTTTAAAAAAATAAACACGTTCTAGATTGCTATACGAGCTTATGAGCCATCTGGTGTTAAGTAACCAAAGTTTCAGCCGTATTTTATAATCACTGTCTCATCATTCAAACTTAATGACTTCATGGGGGCAGTAACAGGCAGGGCGGCATTAATAGGCCACCGGCACTTTTTTTTTGTCAGGATGAAATAGCCGGAATTCCGCCCTCCACTGGGGATAGAGGCGGAGCATGTCAGAGTCGAACCGACTAAAACCTCTTGTCACTCAACAACCCACTTCCGAACTCGTGAAAAGGCAAAGGGTTTAGTGCGGAGCACATCTCTCCCATCGCTCTCCCCCTCGGGATGCCGAACCAGCGATCGTCGGCACCACGACCACCAGCCCTCTCGGTCGGCAGGCTATTTGAAGCCCGCCTTGATGGCGCCGTTTAGAGTAGGCTATCCTACGGAATACCCCACTGGGTCAGAACCTGCGTGGGTCGAGGATAGTCGGCCTTCCATCACCCAGATGTTCTTGCGTAAAACGCGTGCAGAGCAGCTTGCACGTCGTCTTCTTAGGCTCCACTCGCCGGTCCCCAGACCGTAATGTCAGGGGGGCCCGCTCTCCGGCACCTAGACATCTTTCGTGCGGGTAGTTAAGTATACTAATGTTAATTCAATATTTACATAAACGAATGGTTTATATACCTAATAATAATTTACCTTTTCTTCTTCTTCTTGTCCTTATTCCACGTTACTTGGGTTCGGGGAAGCGTGTCCTTTTATCCTGCTGCATAGGTGTTTGGCATAATTTTTACGACCCACCGCCTGCCTGTTATATCCCCATATATTTATTGCAACGTTCTACGAGGGTTTTTTTTCTGTTTTTTCTTTCTGTGTTTGTTTTAGGTACGCAATTCGTTTTCGTTTCTGTGATTTGCATTTTGTTATTATAAATATGAACACTAAAATTTAAATTCTCAAATACCAAAAAGACTAATTTACCTACCGCAGTAGTAATTAAAAAATAACCGTCTCTATAGAAAGCGAAAGCTGACATTAAAAAAATTTATTGAATTCTTGTCTATTAAGTCAAAACAATAAAATTATTGTTCTATAGTTGTTCGATACGTATGACAATTTAAATTTAAAAAAGTATTCTGAATGATTACATGTCAGGTCAAACTAGTTACAACGTGCTGAAAATCATAGTTTTTGCATTCTTTATATTTTTCATTACTCTTTACTATTTTTTATTTACCTGCCTGCCAGGAGCACCGAGGGCCTCGCTTCACCCTAACTGGAAGGCTACTCACGGGGCTGAGCCTGAAAGATTTCTAAGGATTCTGCAAATATCTGGCCAAGCAATACTAGTGCTTCGCTGCATATACCAATGACTCGGAATCGCGACCCACTGAGAAGATCCGGCGAGAAACTCAATGGCTTGTGTCTGTGGGTTAACTTACACGTTTAACCCTTCATCGCATTCGACGATGCCGGTGAGGGGTGCTTGAAATGCCTAAAATCACCGAGAATGGATCGGGAGGTCCCGAAATAACATGTCTAAGGCGACGATGGGTGTTTGTTGCCCCGTCGTCTGGGTCAGGGATGTAACTTACTAATCTATATGTTTGCTTTTCACTCAAGTGCTCCTAAACGGGTGGACCCAATTTGTTAAGATCAATTAAAGAAATATTTAGGGCACGTTTAAGTGTTGCTCCTTCGATAGATTTACAATTGGACCCGGTAGGCGTCAAGTAGATTCAAGATAAGAAGATCAGATTTCAAGGTAGTTCTACGTCTTCCGGGCCCTTTAGCTTTAATCTATTATTACAATTATACGACATTTAAATAGCTTTATTTATTATCATTAATAGATTAGAATAGATTAGAACCAAATGAGATGAACTAGTCCGTCAATTTAGAGCTATAAGCAATGATATACCTACTATGAGAATTATTAAGCTGATAGCCTTGAGAGGCTATGTCAGCGTAACCGGGTGAGTAGGTGAGCTCACGGGGCTTGAACCTGACGTTGTTGCTAACACGAACCCAAGCAAGAGCCGTGCTTCGCAGAATCTACCACCAGATCGGAAACGCGACCCACTGAGAGGATCCGGCGAGAAACTCAGTGGGCTGTGTCTGTTTTTGGGTTGAGTTTTAATATTCGACTACCAATAACGTTAAAACAGATGAATTAGAATGAAAGCTTTTTCCAGAACATATCACGTGTCGTCGTTGAAGTATAGTTGCATTTGAACCCGCAAAGATAAGTACGGAATTTGATATTTATTTACAGCACGTTAAGGGTGAGATTAGATCGGTAAGGATATAAGATCTTTTGAGATTCCGAGATCGGTATAATGTAGTAACAAATCTAAGGATTTTATTAGCGTTTCGGAAATGCCCCGTAGCCTTATAAAGAGCTGACAAAGGGAAACTCGGCGAGTTTGACTTTTCTCATTTTTGCGGCGTCCGTTTTGGTCATACATGCGCTCAATTACCGTATTATTTCAATTTATTACGAAAAAATTTACATTTTTTTTCGATCATTTATATGTAATCTTTGTTTACAAAGAATTTGAATTTGAATTTGTCGTCATGGCCTAAAGGATAAATAAGCATAAGTAGGGGTATTCTTATATCGGGTGAGTACCATTTTTTTCTAATGAAATACGTAATTAGCTCATGTTCGCGAATTACTTTTGCAATGACGGAATTAAGACCTTAAGAACGAAACCCGCAAAATTGTTATTTTCCCAGTACTTACTATATAATTGAGATATAGATGACAAGCCTCAATGACCGCCTTGTTTATGAGTGATTTACTGGTGGTAGGACCTCTTGTGAATCCGCTACGGGTAGGTACCACCACCCCACCTATTTCGGCCGTGAAGCAGTAATGCGTTTCGGTTTGAAGGGTGGGGCAACCGTTGTAACTATTCTGAGACCTTAGAACTAATTTCTAAAGGTGTGTGGCGGCATTTACGTTATAGATGTCTATAGGCTCCGGTATCCACTTAGCACCAGGTGAACTGTGAGCTCGTCCACCAATCTGTGCAATAAAAAAATATCTAAAGAAATATTTTTTGCATACTCTTATTGGCGGCAAGCTGAATTGATAGAAAAAGGTCTTAGTTTCCTATATGATCTGGGAAGTGCCTTAAAAATCACTGCAAAAATATGTTAGTTTTTCGTGTAGGTTTTTCATTGTTACCCTTTTTTGGGTCTAGCTCCCTCAGTCCGGAAACAAAACATACGATTATTAACTCCATTTCCAAAAAAAAAACTAACTTTTATCAACAAAAAAGGCCTCTAAATTCTTATTAATAAACGCTACATTTCTACATCTAAGTAATGAATACATGCGCCCTTATGCTTCGATTATCCGTGTATGTAAGGCCAGCCGGATAAAATATTCAAAACGTACACTGCCCGGCTCGCTAATAAACTCATTAGGGAAGGCCAACACGCAATTAGCCGGATCTCTTCATACATCTTATGTACGAGGTTCTTAATCAA